CCCTGAATATTATAATTTGTGTTTACTTATTCACGAGTCCTGAAACAAGGCACAATCAGGATTGCAATGAGCATAACAACCGCTGTATCCTCTTAATTCTGCGAGTGAACAAATGCATTTTACTTAAAACGACTAGAATTTGACGATCCGTACTTGAACTCAGTTATCATGGCTTCATTTGTCCGTCAAAAGCAGGAAAAAAGATGTTAATTTTCCTCTCGTTTTATTTATGCACTTTATCTCAGACACTCTTTTTCACACGCAGCATCGAATACGCTTTGAACCTCGTCAGAGTCCCAATAGCTCGTCTCAGCGATTCGAACTCCGGCTCCTTCGTGGATACGGGACGTGCAGTTCAACGCTGGACAGGAATACCTTCCAAGGCAACATAGGGTTTGGTCCAACTCGCTTTCTCATTAAACGATGCGAGTGCGTAGGCGAGAGAGAATCTGCGGCCTGGTTGGGTTGGAGAGACTTGCCAGTGCACAATCTACAGTAAAATCAATCGGGCATTAGCCCCGTTTTGTCATAGACAGCCATCGTATCGGTAGCTTGTACCAACCAGAATGAATCTTTATATCCATTTGAAAGACTGTTATGCTTGCCTCATTACAAACATTATTGCAAATCGGAAGTACAGATTCTCCCTTGGCACAGAGTGGGTAATCAGTTAGACCAGTTACATGTGAGCGTCAGTTTATCTAAATTTTTCTCCCTAGCCCGTCTGCCCCTCCTCTTGGGCTGCGAACTTCATTTTATGCTGGGCCTGCGTGTCACGTGAACTTGGAATTGACCTTCAAGCAAACAGAACCCAATAAAGCTTAGAGCCGGTATGCAAATTAATCTAGACCCATCTTGGCTTGGCATTTCTCTGGTCCTCGCACCAATCGTATGCAAGGCTGAACTCCATTTTGCCATCTGAACGAACGAAGCCCTTTATTGACAGTCGAATTTAGAAAATAAGTCGCAGCTTCGTGCAGCCTCCACCTAATTGCTGGTTGATTAGGAATCGCTTGACGGTAATAAATGATTGTTAAATGCTGCCTCTAAAAGTCGTTTTTCTAATAGTCCAAATAAAAATTATTAATGAGCAAGATGCCACTAGCCGGTGCGCAGTAGTGAATATCAAGCTATAATTGGGTAATTAATTGGATTTAATTAAAATCGATCGCCTTCTTGCTATTTCTCATATATATAGTTATACTAAGTAGTTGTTAATGCCATTTCCTTGGCTAGAACTAGAGGACCCAGCTTCCGATAAACCTAGCTAGATATATCTCTATACTGAGTATGCTTATAGATGAAAATTTTTTTAACAGCATTTATGAACCTATATATGGATATAAATAAATAAATGTATGTATATACAATTATGCATACACACACACGCATATATATATATAACTAGCCGCATAGCTAATAAATTGATGCTGCAAAGAATGCCACTATGGAGCCAATAAATGACTGGGATTTTTTGCTAATCCATTCCTAGTTTAATGGGATTTTTCAGCTTAAAGAATGTCAAATATTTCCTACTTTCGACCGACATTCATTCATGAGAATTACTCATTCCTTCCTTAATTTTTTTAAAGATATTTTGCCGAATTGATGAATTGCCTCTTGATTTCATAATAGAATAAAGAAATTTGATGAATTTCCTTATCTGATTATGATGGATATGGCCTAAATAAAAGCGTTATATATTCTTTGATTTGTTGGAACTCGATGCAATACCTCGCATTGTATGAGACTGATTGCCATATTGCGTGATGATGGGGGCCAGGCAAAATAGAGAGTGCAGTTTAGCTTGAATGTAAATAACTTTTGGAAACAAGGCAAAGTGAATGAAGATTTTATCGAAGGTATGAATACCAAAATGGTGTGATCTTTTGTATGGTCGCAGTCTCCTTTCGTTGTATATGATTTGATTGACCTTGTCATATTGGCAGGAAGACCAGGAGAAACACACCTTGTCTGGAGTCCATGGGATGCATGATCATTTGCAGAGTCGGACCATGGACGTGGGGGGAATGTACCACGTAGATGATCCGACTCTGGAAATTGCCATGCATACTATGGACTCTGGGCAAGGAGAGTTCTTCTAGGTCTTCATGTCAATATGACCAATTTGTATAAACGAGGTCAAAGATTGTACCATTTATTCTTTTCTACTTTTCTTTCACAAGAGATTGAAACCTCCCAGGATCTCTGGATTCAAAGACATACATCTGAGCTGCAGAACCAATGCGTTACGGTGTCTGTATGACCGGCAGAGCACCACACTTCACCAGTGACCCACTGGCAGAAGCCTCCCATTTGGCGTGACCATTTCCTGCCTCGGACAGCCTCAAAGTCTGGAGCCACACCGGATTCCATTCATCCGCCAATCGAGTCACAGAAAGGCAGCGCTGGCTAGTCTCCGTAAGAATGTTATTGCCGCACTTCAAGACAAGCCATTTGACAGAAGCTGATGGTGGCATGCAAGAAGGCTGGTGTGGATCTGGCTTGGTGGTGTCGGAGAAACGCGATGAAAGTGTGCGCAAAGAGAACAGAAAGATCGAATGGAGTCACCTCCCGCTCCTTTGCGTGCAACAGCCGTGTTGGTACCAAGGCGGTCGGTGGGTACAAAATAGCCCATCGTGACTAATCCGCCAGCAGCGATACTTCAGTAAAGTTCCAGTCGCAACGGACGATAAATGGTCAATATTTTCAATAATGCCGAGCACACCATTGAATTGTCGCAATCCTCGAGGCCGTCACAGCCAGGAAGAAGAGACTCAACACACCCAACGTTGCACTGCTTCTACGGCTGCTATGGAAGCAACGAAGCTCCGTTGCTCCGAGGAGTTCGATCCTTCGGATTCATGGCGCATTGTGGGATCGCGTGCAAACTCAACTCATCGCTGCATTTCAACGCGTCCCGATCATCCAAGAGACTCTTTTGCTGCTGACAATCACCGAGAGGATGGACAAAAGTGTATGATATTTGAAGCTGGGATTCAAATAATCCCTTAGTGATATAGTGAAAATCGAATTTTCATTTCGATGCAAAAGTTGTATGCAAGAGATTTGTGAATTGGCCTCATCGGAAATGGGAGGAAGATTGCAATGGATTGATGACTGTGCGAAAACATCCGTGCTTTGATGTTTCCGTGCTGAGATCTGACTGTCGTGTGGCGAATATGGTCAGTTCGAAAAGCACTGCCTGCGGACGAGTGAAGTTGCTGCATGCAAAGCAGGTGAATTCGGTTGCAGCAGTTCGCCTTTTTCTTGCACTGTTGATGCATGTTTTGTGCATTGTATAAATGGACTGTTCCGGTCATGTGAATTGTTGTGGCAGGACAGTGTTGATTCACTGCCCCGGTTTTGGCTGAGGCCAATTCATGATTCTTTTTCAACCGAGTTTTTCTTCAAAGGACACGTTTTGCCGTTAAGCCAACAGACACCATTTAACTCGCAGCCACCGCCACTGTTAGACGGGCCCAACGATTAAAACAACCGTCAAGGTCAAGCTTGCCACCTGATCTGCAATGAAGAGGCATGACTCATGCTGTGTGAGCCGAGCTTGTGCCTGCTACGCACATACGCGACGACCACCTGGCCAGTATGTGCGCATGCGTATGTACGCGTATGTGTAGGCGAGAGCCGATCGATAGGCTGCCTTGATTGGCCTTGACACGAGATTTGGCGACATCTGCGAGCTGGGCTCGGCTGACCAGTCGTCGGCAGATCTCGAGCGATTCTTTCCAGTGCTCGAAAGGGGAGCCGGAAAATGAGATAAATCCGAGCGCGAAAATCAAACTTGTGCTGCAATTTTGCAGTTTTTGACGGGCCCTTCAAGGGCCCGCGTTCGGAATATCGTCTTGCATAGTTGTATAAGACCAAGATGGTGTGGCCTTTTTTGTGGCTGCGGTCTCCTTCCGTTATATAGAAATTGTTTGACCTTGTTTTCGCAACTTGGTCATATTGGTAGGAAGACTAATGGGAAAGCACCTTGTCCTGAGTCCATTGTATGCAAAATTATTTTCAAAGTCGGACCGTGGACGCGGTACATTCCCAGACGTTTCTCCGGCATCGTCAGTGAGTTTTATCATTCGTAGCACCATGTTACAAACTCGTCAAAGAGACAAATGAAGCCGATCCTTTAAACAAATGTCTGCTAAACAGTTATGGTATCTCCTATTCTGCCCTGTGTAATGGTCAGGCCCTTGTCTCATAGACCACGTCTCTTGTAAAACCTACTGTCAACACACTAGCTCCCATTGCCGCCGCGTCTATCCTGTTTCTATCTCAAATACCAACTCTATGACGTCCCATGCCGTAGTCTTTTGTGTGCCAACCCACAAATGTTTGTGCATGGGGAGTCATAGAGTTGGTATTCGAGATAGAAACAGGATAGACGCGGCGGCAATGGGAGCTAGTGTGTTGTCAGTAGGTTATACAAGAGA